GCAGTCACGGCACCAAGCCTGACAATATTCAGGAAGCACATGGTCTGAATCTTGGGACTGTCCTATGCTAGGACAAGAGTTGGACTTGATGATCCTCATGGGTCCCTTCCAACTCACAACATTCTATGATTCTATTATTCAGTAGGACAAACACTGAAAGAAAATCACATGTAAAGCTTGCTTCAGCTACATACAGACCCCACAGATACCTAGAAGAAGAAAGCAAATAGTTTTCCCCTTACAATGTCAGTGATCATACTATGCTATTACTATTTGCAGTAATTAAATAAAGAGTGTAGCGAGTCAATCATAGAGCTCTCAGTGATGATCTTTACATATTAAATTCAACAAATGCACCCACAAAACAGCTTGGAGCCAGCAGCACTTGTAAGGGGATTCTCAACCCATATCCCTTCCCAACCCTCTGTAATACTTGTTACTCCTGCCACCTCCCTCAGTCCTATGCTGTAGATGAGATTATTAAGACAACGGAAAAATTGCCAAGGAGCACAAATACGCTGATGATCTTGAAGAAGTCTGGTTATAAGCAATCATGACTGGTTTCAAGCTGGCCTCTGAACACTCCCACCTTGAGACCCTGGTGACTGGTTGTACATCACCCAAAGTTACAGGATAAAGCCAGCTTTGCTGACCTCAGACATTGTGGTCAATTGAAAACTGCTAGATCGGAGAACAGCATTTTGAAAGAAAGCAAACATCTCTAAGGAGCAACCCAACATATACTTTAAAATATGAAAATATGCCTAAGTAAATAATGGAACCAGAATTTTGAAGTCTTTCTGGAAGGAAAACACACAGCCTCAAGTCAAAATGCTTTGGAGTGCAGTTATCCATCCCATGCTGTTCATCAAAGGGAATAAATCTAGGTGATTTCCTGCATTGAAGTACACAAAAATTGAAGGCTAAGACTCTTCCAATATCCATGATGAATTTTCACCTTCCCCCAAATAGAGTAAACCCAAGAGAAAGAACAGGGTTATGGAATGAATTCTGCTACTGGTGAGGGAGGGATAGAGGTGAAAAAAAAAGGTGAATTATGACTTCCCTGAAAGTCTTCTCTGATGACTTCCCTACTGTGGTGGTCTGTAAAAGGACCATCAGTCACAGGAGTGTTCAGCACATGTAATGGGCATAATAATAGCTCCAGTGTAGACAGTCCTAACTTGAGAGCAAAAAAAAATACTGTATCTAGTTTCTTGTTATGGAAAAATTATTGATGAACTATTCTGGAATTAGGTTCCTTTCATATGATTAAACTGTCAAGCTGAAAACAGCAACAGGGGGGCCCTTTACTGATGGTAAAAAAACCCCAAGAATTTCAAATTAAGCATGTATTGATGTCCTGACCAAGGAGAAAATTAAGTTAATTTACGCTGTAGTACATGGAGGCAAAGAACTATTTTACTTTTTCTCCATATATTCTTGAGCTACTTCTTCCTAAAAGGGAGTTCCACATCTGCCCAAGATCTACCCAAGATCTGTGCTATCAACTGAAGAGAGCTTCTTAACAAGTCAGGAAGTCTGAATATGATAAGAGGCCCTGAGAATGATATACCTTATCTGAAAGCTAAGCTCTCCTCCACACAGAATAACCCTGACTTTGTCTTGATGGTTCTTTATAAGAACCTCCTATAGAGAAACAGAACATCCCATCACCCATAAGAGATATGAGAAATGGCCAACCAACCATTAGCTCCTGCACCAACGTGAAACCTCTTTGTCATGCACCTGGGAAGGAGGTCTACTTATTTACTCACTCATTCACAGGTTTTGAGGAAAAGGACACCACTTGTCAAATAGACTTTGAGTGATCACCTGTACTAACTTTCACAGCAGTTCTGCCAGCAGTACCTGTCTGCATGTGTGCAGTAATACTTACTTGCAGTGATGTAGCATGCAACAGGCAAACAGAGGAATAGAAGCTCCTCCTGTAGCTGCAGATCTTACAGCATCTGCACCAGTAAGGCTCTGAAGGACAGAATATACCTGAGATGCTCCACACCGATTTGGCCATGCTGATGGCCTCTTTCCACAGCCAGTTTAAAAGCTTTCCCTCTGCTAAGTCACATAACACATGCTGCTATTGGAAAAAGGGAGAAAGAACCCAGGAATCTATACATTACTCCCAAATCTAGAACAATATAAGAGGTTTTTCTGTGATAGACTTCCCAGTGACAGAATTTGGTATTGTCTCCTCAGCCCAACCAGGCCAACTTGTCATTGCTGTAGCTGAGGCAGAACAGGATACCTGTGAGTCTTCTAGGACACATAAATATCTTAAATTGTATTCACTATCTAGTATCTAACTGTCTAATTACCAATAAGTTGAGGGGGGGCAGGAAGGGAGAAGCATCTGAGGGCCAATACAGACAATGTGGACACTAAGATTTTTGCAGGAAAAACATTACTGTAGAACTCTACACAGCTGTGAATTAGTACAAGAAAACTGTTATGCATCTTTCTGGAAAACAAACTACCTTTAAGACTCTCAAAACACCTTTGTAAGCTTGGGATAGAACAGTGGACAATTTCTACATCAAGTTTGTTTCCAACCATGGGACTGAGGAGAAAGTACGGGTTTTTTCCTCCACTAGATCTCAATGAAGACATACTGGTGACACCATCAGCCACAAAGGGGTATCCACAAATACAGTGATATTCAAAGTGTGCTGCTACCAATGAATGATACTTGGTGAATCCTTGAGGTTCAGGTCAATTCTTTCAAGTAGACAAACATTTAAGGCAGAAGCACACTAAGATGTGAAAAAAGCAGCAGATTTCCACAGCAACCTTCAAAACATGAAAGATTAGCAAACCATACAGAATCCCACCTTTCTGAGTTGACTTTAGATTCTAAGTGTCTAGAACAGACAAACAGTACCTTGGGATAATATCCTTTCCCCAGAAGTCTTTGGAGCTTTGTTTACTAAAGCAAAGTAATAAATGGTTTTGTAATCTTTGCATGGTTTGTTTTTTGGTTTGTTGTTTGTTTTTGTTTTTTTTTTTAAGAGCTCCCTGAAGAGGGATGAAGAGATTTATTTTTGTTGAAATGAAGTGTGTAAACTCAAGATTCATCAGTGTCAGACAATATTACTCAAGATATGTAAAACCTAGCTGCCTCCTTTTAACTTGCAAAGTCTCTCTTAAGAGCTTGAAAATTGATTTGAGGTTTTGTACATCTCAATCTGAGTCTAATGCACTCGACTGTCCAACAGATTGTGGAGTACAGGACTTTGATGAAAGAAGTGGGAGGACTGCTGTAAGCACAGTCTTTAGAAAGAGGTTATTACGGTTCACCTTGGCTTTCTTGAGAAATTCAACAAGCACCTCCCAAATCTCATTCAGGGGTAAGGAAGGGAAGGAATGGTAAGAAACCCCTCAGGGCCATGCAGAAAATATGGTGCATTTCACTGGTCCTCTCTCACTCCTGAACAGAAGGCCCAGCAGCCACCTGGTCCCAGCTCTCTCTTCCACCCAACTGGCACAAAGAGGCTGCACAGACCATTGGTCTGTGTTTATCAATGCATCGTGCTTTCTATCATAAAACAGAATCTAAAAATTCTAGACATATCCCAAAGAGGGTATGGTCCTCAGTGCTTAAAAGCTATACCCACCAACACTGGGTCAAATTCCTTTCTTCTACTGTAATAATAATGAAGAGAAATACCTGAAGGCCCAGCTCCAGAGAAACTTTCAGAAGAGTGATGTCTGGCAAGCTGTCCATGAGTGTTGCTATTTTAAATGCATCCTGGGCAAGTTTGAAGATGTGTGATGAGGAGTGGATATTTTTCTGAATGGATTCTAACACTGTTTCCAGCCTCCGAACATCACCTGCAAGGTGTAAACAGCGTCACCAGAACAGAACAAGCTTCGAAAATATCCAGAGATGTTTTATAATTGAGCCTGCTGCTGCTACACAATAGCATGATATTTCAGTTATACATGCTTTGTTTTCAGAAACCTTCCATAATAAGTCACATATGAATAAAAGATAAAGTAGTAAAAACTACTCTAGTGCCTGATGGTGTTCAGGCAGTACGTGGCCAAAAGTCATCCTGATTTTTAAGTTTTAAAAGTGATTTGTCCACTCCTGGGTCTCACAGTCCATGCTGTGTGTCAGAAGAACGAAAAGCTGTCTCATCAAACTCAAATCACACTCATCTGCCTACCATCTAGCTAGCTTGACAGGTTTAAGCCGTACCCATTTCAAGCTCCGGTCATACTGCAATTTGGATTCCTAAACACAAGTTTTATAATCTGTTTACTCGATGCAGTATTAAAAGCATACGTTTAGTTGAGTTCGTAACTGACAGCAATGTACCTTTGGCTGCTGTTAGCATGGTTGATGCCAGCTCACACTGCTGGGATTCAATGTGACTTAGGGTGAACCAGCGGGGATACCGGTTTGGAACAACTGATGCAATGTGGTGTGGGCGGGACATGTCTCCCGAAGGAGCTGTAGATTCCAATACTAGCAACCTAAAATAAAGAAGAAATCCTCTTTCATTAAATCATTATTACATTAGGTTACTCATGAGCAAAACTAAAGCTGCAAGAACACTTGACCTTGTTTATGAAATGTGCCTTTTTGGTTATTAAAAAAAAAGATTGGAAAACCACTTCTCTTCTTGGGTAATCTTAAAAGTCCATTTGCCAAACTTGCTTTCATCAGTGGGCACCCGCAGGAATTCACAAGACAATTAAGCCACCATTAGCCAAGGCAGCAGAGATGTCCTGCATCATGCACAGAGCTGAAGCTTTTCTCCCTGCCTTGTTTCAGACTTTGAACCACAGCCCTCAAAGGAAAGTAGAGTAGTTCTCCACTGTACTAAGAACATGTAAATATTTTTCAATATTTGGAACATACTCCCTTCACTTACAAATGTTCAAAGTAATGAAAAGGGATATGCAGCAAGTCATTCATATTTTAACCTCACAATAAATTCAGACATGAATTTATGTCCAAAAGGATGTTTTACTGTTCAACTATGACTACTTTTCAAAGTCCTTAAACTTTAGGCCTCCAACATTTTATAATGTGCCATTATCTCATATTAGGGCCCCAAACAGAAATGACAGAGGGAGTTTCCTTTGAAGTTACTTTTCAGACTCCATTTTCTAATCCTGAAGCAAAAATTTATTTTACTATGTGTCAATCTACAACACTCTTATCCACCAAGGAGAATTTATACTTAGAAAATTTAAATTAATGTGTTTGTTGTTGACTACTACAACACAGCCTACAACAGACACTCAATCGATGGCCCATTACAATATACTAGATACAGTCAGTACACTAGATACTATATAAATTCCAATGCAAAAAGTAGGAGAGAACAAAAATAGGTATTTTTATTCAGTACAGTTAAGCATAGTTTTAGGACATGAATGGCTAATGAGACATCAAATTATAGTAATAAGACTATGTTCAGAAGAGAAGCCTTTCCAGTGCTTAGCTTCTGGGTCAGGGTTAACATCTACCAGCTTCCATGCAACTGATTTCCTAGAAGGAAGTAATCTGGGAGGACAAAGGAAGTTGGATCTCTTCTGTCAATAAAACTGCTACTGAATATTGAAAATCCAACACATTGTGATTTTCTGTGATAGAATATTTCTCATGGAACAAGCTCACTTAAACGTGTTACAGTTTCTTGTACTTAAATACCTACGTTCTTTAAGTAACTGAGTACATGCCTTTTTTTTTGCAGTGAGATAGTTTTAAGTTCCACCAGTTATGTCTAGGTTCCTGAAGCATATGACAGTATCTTTAAGAATTCCCTGAGAAAGGTGATTTTGAATATATGGGAGGGCATCTAGCAGGCACATATAAATACAAGGTACCACATAAATAACTATCAGTAGGTTATATTAACATTTTCAGACACAGGTATGTACATGCTAATACGAAAAAAAAAAAAAAAGGCTTCCCTTTTGATTTGTAACAAGAGTCAAATCTATTCCCTAGTACTACAGACACTTCTTTATATACATAAAAATAAAATATATGTAAACTCTCCAGCTGATTTTTTCCAAGTATAGAGGCAGGGTAGGGGAGAGATGCATTATTAGATAGCTAAAAATCCCAACTACGTAAGGCAAAAAGGGATTACTAGGTTATGAGTAACAGTAAATAGACAGAGAGCATGAAATAATGAGAGAAATCTTTTGTCACTTTGAATTTCATTGCCAGCTTCTATGTTCTTCTGCTGTCAAAAGAAACGCTGTTGTGAATTAGTGGCTTTCATGAAATTTTGGCAAGATGAGGGAACATCAGAACAAGCACAATCAGATTTAGAATTCTTCACTTTTCAACCCCCTTTTCAAACATTAATTATTTCGCTGGGTTTTAGCAGAGCTACCTTGTGATTAAACATCAACATTAAAAGTCTGGCTCCCAAAGCCTGGGTGAAATTCAGGCTTAACAAGGGATCAGTCAAACTAAGGCAAACATTCAAGTTCAGATTCCAAGTGAACAGTCAACTAGGTCACTGCAGATCCACATACTCCAAGGCTCCAGTCCATATGCTTCAGTGCTGCAAGCAGACAACTGTAGACAGAAGTTACCATTAAGGACAGCACAACACTGTCTTTGCAGACCTGAGGTGTGTGCATGAAAGGCTTTATGGTCTGAGCCTTCACTAATTTCATACTGAGTGTTCCATACACTAAAATAGAATTCAAAAAATGAAACAAACAGATGATTTTGAATACAGAGAGGTAAAATATTCCAGAGCTGCGATCATGGGCCATTGACATGTGTAGACTTGTGTGAAGATTGACACTAAACACTTAGGTCTGGAAAGCTGGGGTCTTGGGAAGTTAACTTCTTTAATAAATGTTGAAGTGAAGAAAGAAATAGGTTCCACTTCTAAAAGCAAGAGCAACTGCACAGATTTCTATGCAGCATCTTTATTAATTTCCACATGATATTTTTGTCCTTGTCACAGCCATTTCTTCCCTGCCATGGAAGAAAAGATACTATTTTCCTCCTCTGCCCCATTCAGCTTCACAACCATGAGACAGACATTTAATTCTTCGTGTTTGCTTTCTTCTTCCCCCTTCAATGCAGTATTAACTTAATTTTTCAGTTGGTTTGTACGAGTCCTTTATACACTGAAATATCACTTTAGGGCAAATGGGAAAAGTAACCAACCTTCTTCAGAAGAATTTGAGAAGTGCTGAGGAATGCAGACAGACATGAAATAGAAAGTGCCTAAATCTGCCATCACCACAGTTCAAGATAGCAGTCCACATTTCTGAAGAGTGCCAAATTATCAAAATACAGAAAGATTGATTATTGTCTAGGGCTGAACTTCATCTGCCTTATAAAGTGATGACAAAAGGGCTATAGAGAACAGCCTGAATTACGCTGATGCCTCCTGTGATTTTACCAGATGGAAATGAACAGACAACTGTTTCTTATATTGGTCTGACTGAAAAGTAGCTTCTTTGGCTGAGATGACAGCTTCATACCAAACGACGTCTGGAGCTACCCATGACTAACTGGAGATTTCATCATCTGGATCTGTCAGTGTCTTGTTTGTTTTTCCAGTTGAGAAAGGAAACTTCCAGAGAAGAACTTTTCAGTTTTGACCAGTTGCTGGGGAAAGCCCAAATCCATGTTCAAAAGGGATGGCATGCTGCCATCACATTCACTGAAGCGTTCAGTGCACTGTAAGAAGCTGCTGGTGGGTGACTATTCCAGTCTTTCAGCATGGTTTCAGTAGTGTAGTTTAAGGAGGAAAACTCCACACAAACAATCTCTGAGAAACACTTTAAGGTAGTAACTGAAAATAAATACAAGGACACAAGTCTACTTGATAAAATTGACCTTATTTTCTTAAAAAAAAAACCCAAACCCAAAACCAACAAAAAATACCAAACAAACCCATCCCTCACATCTTTTACTATCTTGTTGATCTGATACAATCAGGGTTATTGATGCACTTAACTTTCAACAAAAGAAGACTGTACTTAGATGGCCCAGACAGCTTTCTGATCGTATATTTGAATGTTCTCAATTGTTCATCAGCAATGTCTTTTGTCTTCTCAATTTATTTCCTAAAATGCTAATCATAAGCAGCAAGTATGCAAGGTCACTCTTCGTGTTTCTTATACTCTTTCCTTAACAACTATTACTAGATACTCTTGGAGGCAAAAAAAACAAGCTAAGCAGACCTTTGGCCTGACCTGATAGTAGCTATGTTTTGTTCTTATGTATGCCCTCCCATTTAGTCCTTTGAACACAGAATTATTTTCTCCCCACTTTCTCCTCCTTTTTTGGAGTAACTAGCTCCACAATACACACTTCCAAACCACTAGGACACAACCTGTCTGATGAAGCTAAATACTACTTATGTGGATAATGTGTCCTTCAATCACTGCACAATCATTCTTGATAATAATGACCAGGAAAACCCAACACTTAAAAAAAAATAACCTTGGACTTGATTGCTTTTAGTACTAAGTTGTGGCTAGTCTTTGTCAACCATCAACCACAAGGTTCTTGACAGCAACCAGACAATTCAGATGGGACCAGTTTCTTCCTTGTGTTGTATGTGGACAACAGACTTACTGCTGATCATTTAGGCCCTTGAAACTTCCTTCAGAAGGCTTTTCTTAGCCATCATTACCAACCTGGCCTACTTTCAGATAAAGCCAGCACACACTGAGCACTCCCTAAGAAACATTTTTTCCTGATTACTGAAGAAAACGGGATGCAAGTCAGACATTTTGTTGTCATATGACAGTCTCCATTTAAATCCCAACATTCACACACAGGTGGGCAAGACTACTTTGTTACGAAGAACAAGGAAAAAAGCAATGGCTTAGACCACACCATATGGTTTCAAATCTATAATTGAGAGTTAATTTATAAAGAAGGCCAGTGGAACAAACAGTGCTTCTAAACAGGCTATCAGATGATCCTGAAACTGCTGGTGAGATGCCTCTTTCTTCATTCCCTCACCAGTACCATCACACACACGCCCACCCCACATGGGTGAGAGAACGCACATTCTAAAGCTGTTGTTTAACACAAAACCATGTGCCCCAAGAGTGGGATTCCAGAGAAACTTGTAACAGAGAATGCTGTTTTACAGCTGTAGATAAACATTAATTGTACATTTATAAATTATTATACTGTAGTTACTACAGACACCAATTGCTTTTACAGATGACAGAGCCAAAATAACTTTTCCTTAAAGAATGCTTCTTTTAGGAAAAAAGATGAGGTCTTAACTGTCAAGCTTCTTCCCCTTTTCCCAACCACTACCTGTACTCTTTCTAGATGACTCATGAATACATACCGCATGGCTCTCAGTGCAGTTTTGTATGCCAATTCAGCATCATGAGGTAGGAGAGAGGTGAAGAGATACTTGGCAAATGTGTGCATTGGAACACTCTCTCGATGGATGACTTCACCTAAACCACTATATGGTCCAGCTGCAGGAAAGAGAAAGAGAATATCAGTCTTTATATACTGCTAAAAACCCAACTTCTGGACCTTTAAAAATATTCACTTCACTATACCTTCAGTTAGAATTGGTTTTCAGAGACAGAATTTGCTGTACAAAAGGTAAAGTTATATTGCTATTTTCTGTGAAATATGTTACACATATCACATATATACAATGTATTACAAATATATTAAGTACCATATACTCTTTGAGACAACACGACAGACGGAAAACCGTATAGAACTATGCACACTACCAGCGTGCAGCTAACTGACAGAACGATTCCAGTGTCCCACGGAGCTCATTCAGCAACCTTACTCAGCAAGAGTAGAAACTGATAATCCTAGATTTACATCCATGTAGTGACACTGTGCGCATGAATACCTATGCGCCTTGTTGGTGCATGATAGCTTTAGCACAAATTCACCAGAAAAAAAAAAAGAAAAAAAAGAAAAAAAAAAGAAAAAGCATGGTACAGTGGAAAAATGCATATCTTCAATTGAAGTTACATGACCAATCACCACAGCAGCACCTGATCTCTACTAAAGGCTCACCTGACATTAGGCATTTAAACATTTTGGTTTGGACTTGGTGTCCAGAGAAGACTAGGCTAGACCTTGCACCAAAGCTGGTTTTGTTAGTCCATTATAGCTACAGGATCTCAAAAACTGTATTTGTTGTGGGAAAAATATCCCCACTGTTTGGGCAATGGACTTTGTTCACACTCTGTGCAGCCACTGTAGTATTTCAACTTCATAACAGCAGCATCAAGATTGACAACAAAGTTAAATGCAACTATTTCCTTGCTGAGTTTGGAGTGTTCACAGTGCACATGAATCCCATTTTCACATTTTTCCTACAACCTTAAGACTCTCAAACAGTTTTTGACTTCAGCAGCGAGAGGTTCAGGTACTAAATGTTGCAAGATACAGAATATGAATTGGACTAGTACTGCACAGGTAGCAGCCAGTAGTCCTAAAGTTACTACTACTTCTTCTGCTAGAGACTCCAATCCACCACATGTGGTCAGATAGATGAATGACTGTGTGAGCACACTTCTTCACTGTAGTCACATGTGTCATCTACACTGCTTCCAGCAGTAGTTGAAACTATGGCCGATTCTATACTGAAGCAGACAAGTTGAGCAGACGAGGAGAAACAGCCAAGCTGTTTCAGCAGCATTGTTCTGACTGGTGCCTTACTACAACACACAAAGACAAAAATCACAAGGCATGAAAATTTCTGAGCTCCACAGGTGGGCATTTCTGAAGACTGGGGCTCATTACAAAGGAAAAGTCAATGAAGATTTAGTAGGTGACAGTGTGTCTCAATCATTTAGAATGAAGTTGAAAGCCATTCAAAGCTAGCTGGCATTACTTCAATGAAAGAAGCCATTTCATGTATGTTTGCTAGTTGGTCCAGTCAGAAACTCAGTTAGGACACAAAGAACACCTGACAAAGTTTTTATGAAAATATATTCTGCCATTAACTTAGCAGTCAAGCAAAAAATCCTAACAGTTCTTGTAAAACAGTCTTATGTTCTCCTTTCCCACGCACTCAAATGGTAGCTGCATGCAGCATACATTAATTTGTATTAACAGCACAGAAATCAGCTTAATATTGGATTAAGCTTTCTTTATTATATTTACAGGACTTTAACTATAAAAACACAATTGATATGATCAACATCTTAAATTACTGCACAGTTTTGCCTGCATGTGAGCTGACAGTTTCCGCCTAACCTGAAATAAACTGAAGCTATTGCAGGCAAGCCAGATTTCTCAGCACACAGTAATGCAACACATTGCTGCTACAATTTTGTAGGTAGTTATATTAGCTGATTTCCTGCTACGATCACTTGTTTACTACTCTAAGAACACATTAAAAGAATTTCAGTGATCCAAGTAGCAAGCTAGGATTATCAGAGACCACTTTAGAGCAACCCTGCCTTTTCTTCATAAAGCATCCTTACCAGTAAATACACGCAGCTTTATAATCCAAAGGATCCCTGAATGGTGTTTAATACCTGGATCCAGCAAGCAGCTGTTCTTGTCCAAAGGCCATAAAACAGCAGTACAGACACACCATAATGGAAATTCTCCCCAGGGTGTGACTTCTCTGCAGTTTCAAATGGCACCATCAGCAGGTACCAAAGTCTAAGGATCTGGACAAAAACAGTGACTCAAAGCTGAGAACCCTAAACAACATACAGCATCTCTTCAATAGAAGAGGAAGCTTTAAAAGACAAAGGTCTTACAGAAAGAAGGTGTCAGGCAAAACCTGACTGCTGTGTAGCAGTCTTCACAACTTACCTAGAGCAGTACCACATTCCCCACCATTCCCTTAAGCAAGCACTCAAAACCTGGACCATGCCTTTGGCTAACTGGTTCCTTTAAAGTTTTTTCTTCCATTTAACAAACCAAAAACCAGAAAGACATGCTCAGAATCCATGAGACTACTCTCTGAACACGAGGCTTAAGTGCTACATGTTAAGCCTTTTTAAAAGCTAAAGCAAAAGCATGCACTATTTTGTACAGATTTTATTGCAACACTCTGGCTAATTCCCAAACACAAATTGTTTGTCTTGGTCAAAATTTAGTCACTAAATGAGGATTTAAGAATCAATATTTGACCACATATTTCAATTTTCATATATGATACAAACGTCAGAAGCAAGTCATTTTCTACCAAATTTGATTTGCTACCATCAAGACGCTGTATTTCTGCCCCAGCAATTCTATGTTAGTTTTCTGAGCCCTTCGCTTGAGGGAACAGAGGTAAAAGTCTTCATACATTTACAAATGTATTTACAAAGCTGTCAGTCCCTTTTTCAGGATAGAAGGAACACTTAGAACTTTGCTGTTGATGATAACTGATGTCTATATTATTTAATTGTAAGCTTGGGCTGTATAATCAGAATACTGAGATTACGACAAGCAAGAAAACTAAAAGAACAAAATATAATCAAAATTAAAACAAAAGGCTTATGGGTCAATAGATGCCTTAGATCTACAGTCATGTGACATCTGAAGTATGATTTTAATCAGATATTGGAAACAAAATTTTGCTGAAGTTCTATGTCAAAAAAATATCTGGAGTATGTAAAACAGTTTCCACAGGAATACTAGTTCTGTATGCTTGTGTAGGCGAAGACAGTTTAAAGAAGCAGTTAGCATCTATAATGAGCTACCTTCTAATAGGAAGACTGCTTGTTTTCGAAAAATCTTCACCAGAGTATCATCCAATTCAATTTCCTGTAGCTTAGAAATGAGCTGCTCCTCATTTCGACAAACCTTCTCTTGTGCATACAAGCCATCTGGCATAATTCTTTGCTGTCCGAGTCCTATCAACGCCACTTCCACAGCCAGCGTTAAGTAAGATTCCCCTTCTTCTAAGAACTTGTGTGCAGGCAGGTGCTGGTACTCCAGAGATTTGCATTGCCCCATGTTCTCTGTAAGGGGTGACAGAGAAAAACATATCAGCAAATCATTCTAACCCATAATCTGCTTATAATGTCACACATAAGCTTCTTCTCTAAGTATTATTTTTTCTTAAATTAGTAACTTAAATTACTAGTGCAATCTCAAATCCAATGATCCAATCTAAAATATCCCACCCAACTCCACTTGGCTGAAATGCACAACATAATTAGGGCTTAAATAACACATGTAAAAATGAAAGTTCTCCTTTTAAAAATGCACTATGTAGAGAAAGACAATTTCTTTACCCTTGTGTTAATTAGGCCAAAGTTGGAAGATCCATTTCAGTTTTTTTTCCCCCCTACCCATGTCTGTAATTCATTAAAGCCCTGATGTGTAAGAGGAAGGGAAAGGTGCTTATACACCTGCATAGATTTCTGGTTGAAGCTATTAGGATTGTGCAAATACAATAGGCATAGGAACTCCACAACTTTAAAGTCTGCTAGTGCTCTTTTCAGGCTTTTTTATTTTTTACAGTTGCATTTATGATAAAAATGTGTATTATTAGCAGTAGAAGTCCTATTTTTTGTAAAGATTACACGTAAACTCAACACAGACCAAGCCGTAAATTGCTTTAAAGAGTACTCTACCAATTCATTTGGCATTTCACAGACACACCACATGACAAAACACTAGTCCAACCTGTAGCGGTTTACAGTCTAATTTGGTAACAAAAAGTTACAGTGGACAGATGTAAGTAGATGGACAACTGCAGCAAACAGGAACGCTGAACACATCTGGTAAATTGCATATGTGTGTGTAAGAGGAATTTACTTTTCAACACACACTTTATTTCATGGGCTTGCTTTTTTTTTGTTTTAATAATTGCAAATAATCTGATTTTTTAATTTCTTTTAATTAGAAGTTCTTCCAGAATTGGTGGATATGGGATGAGAAATTTCTTGAAGAAAATCTAATTAAATAAAAGGAGTTTTGAGGCAAAGCCCCAAGATTGCGGATGTGCATATAAAAAAAAAACTGCAGGTAGAGGGATGAATCCAGTTTCTGTCCACAGAGGTGGTGATAAGAAGCTCCTGGGAAGCAAATGGGAGTACACATCCTCGCCTGAATTACTTATCAATACTGCAACACTACTTTCCAATTAAAATAATTTATAGATCATATATGTCATAAATTTTAAGTGTTTTGTCATCAATTTGAAATATTATGTATACCTGTAGCTAAGATGTCCAACAGTGTCCTGGGCTGCATTAGGATTGTTGCCAGCAGGTTGAGGGAGATGACCATTTCCCTCTGCTCAGCACCAGTGAGCCCACACCTGGAGTGCCATGTCCAGTTGTGAGCTCCCCAGTACATGGACACACTGGAGCAGATCCAGTGTGGGACCACAAAGATCATTAAAGGATTGCAGCATCTCTCATATGAGATTAAGACAGGTGGGATTATTTAGCCTGGAAGAGAGAACGCTCAGGAGGATCTTACCAAAATGTATAAATATCTGATGGGAGAATGTAAAGAAGACAGTGCCAGACTCTTCTCAGCTGTATCCTGTGACAGGACAAGAGGCAATAGGCACAAACTGAAATACAGGAAATTCCATCCGACCACAAGAAAACACTTTTTTACTATGAGGGTGGTTGAACACTGCAAGAGGTTGTCCAGAGAGGTTGTACAGTGGAGTTTTCTGAAACCCAACTGCACACAGTCCTGGGCAACCTGCTCTAGGTGGCCCTGCTCTAAGTAGAGCAGGTGGACTAGATGATCTCCAGAGGTGCCTTCCAACCTCAGTAATTCTGTGATCCTGTGATTTCCTGCAATTCCTCAGAAAGAGGACAGAGTAATATATGTGGACAGGGCTGCTACTTTAAAGTCTTACTCAGTTTGACTGCAAGTGTGAAATATGCAATTGTCTTCAAGAATGAGTAACTGGTAACTTTTAAAGTGCTTTCATATTTTACTTTAAACATTTTATCTCCCTTGTGTTTTCTTAAGGAATGCAAATGTGAGTTCTTACACTATAAAAACACTGGCTTTGAAGCTGATTCAGAAAGGCAAGAAAAATGCCTCCAGTAGATGAAGATGTACAGAAAATTTTGCTTGGCCTTACCTGTGAAGTCTGAGAATCCATGGAAGCTCTCATCATCTACCCTGCAGGCTTCCATCAGGCTACTGAAGAGAGTGCCAATGGGGTCCAAAGGGTGTCCCACCCAACCTTCAAGATTCGTTATTGAGGTTACTCCTCTGTGGAGAAGTTCTGTGACAGAAAAGATGGAGGCGGGAGGGTGGGAAAGAGAGCACGTGTTAGCCCCTCAGAACAATTATAAACACAAAATTGATTAAAAGCTCTCAGTACAGAACTTAAAGTATTTCCAGTAGTTTCTGCTTAGAAAGAAAAAACAGTGTATTTCAGGGCAAATTCACTGCCCTTTGTGAATATATTAAAACAGGAAAAAGAAAAAGAACAAAGGTCAAACATTTTGAGCACTAGCAAAGTGCATTTATGGGTCAAAAATTTGAACTGCAGTGTCTATTGAAATCTCGGTATCAGTAACTCTTCTGATGACATCAGATGAGGAATTACAGTAAATACTTTTTTTGTTAAAATATTCACAGCAGTTTTCTCACTCAAAAATGCACACTACCATTTCTACATTTTAAGTTAAATCTGATGGCACTGAAATAAATGAAAATATTCTAAAATAAGTTCCAATTTCATAAATAAGACCTTATCCTGCATCTAAATATTTATTGAAGTAATAAACCCAGGATGACAGCTCCTTTATTAAAAAAATAAAATGTTTAAATGAGGTCTACAAGAAAAAATTGTCCTTTAAGTGGATCAAGTGTATTTTTTGTCATTCTAAAATTTCAGTCAAATATCTTCACAGATACTTTGTTTTGCAACCCTCACCCATCATTTGGTTAGAACATGAGAAGATTGTTTAGCACAGTGAACTGAAGGAAGTGTGGTTGTGGTAACAAATGTTAGATTCCCCAAATCCTCTTTTTACTCTGTCTTATGGCAACAGCTCCCATTTGACTCCAACTCCCAACTTTTTTCCTCCTAGACACATGAATATGACTGAACTATGAGAGAAAAGATGCCTCAAGTATGACCATTTAAGGGTGGTCCATTTAGAACTGCATACAAGCCATTACAGATGCTCTGCTTCTCTGTCTGTTACAGACTAACTTGTACCTGCCTCTGCTCTCTCTTGTTCACAAAGTGCCATCTTTCTGAGTAACCATATGTATTAGCACAGAGCTTTTAAATCCTGCTTCTTACCTATTTAAATGTGTGGGGCTACAAAATTAAACACAGCCCACTGTCAGAAGAGTGGCTTGGTTGTTTGTTTTTTGTGTGTGTGTGTGTGTGGTTTTTTTAAAGAATCCACCCATACGTAATATAATAAACAAGTAAATCTTTGTCATACTAACAAATAGCATGTTCTGAAGATGACATGCAGAAGCAAGTAATATAGGATTAATTACAGTGACTTCTTACTGACTCATTTTTTATTTATTCTATTGTGCCTACTTATAAGTTTCACTTGTGTCATACCAAAGGCTTCAGTCCTCCAGTCATACAGACATTTAACTTTAAATTACACAAGTAGTTCCATGGATGTCAGGGCAGTCACATGAATAAAAGCTAAATAGAAGCATGTAGTGTTTGATGAACTAAAACCTAAAGCTGGGCTGTAGCTGCAGAATTCATCTGCTTACAGAGAGGAACAGCACATTTTGTGGTATTAAAAAGAGTGGTTTTTTAAAAATTCCATATATAAGAAGTTAAAAAAAAGCTGCGAGTGACAACATAGTAACAACAAACTTCTCTGGTTTGGGTGTAGAAAGGATCACATTTCATACACTCCATTTTTAATTTATAATAGTACAATATTAGTTGACAACTAGAGAAACTGCTCACAGGGAAAGGAATTGAACAGAAGTATTGAATGTCTAGATACTGCATTAGCAGCTGGGAATGAAGAAGAGCAGTACTACAACCAGTACGCACACTTGCAGCAGACGCTACACACCTGCCAGTGGTTCGTATGTATACACATACACACACAGACACAGACCCCTCCCTTCTTACCCTCCAGTCTGAGAAGCTAGAAAAGCTGAAAAGCTTTTAAGGGAACACTTGTCTGGGAAAGATACATTATATGATAAAAAGGTTTAGTAAATTCTCTTAAGTAATAATACAAAGTGCTTTTAAGTTTTGTTCAAATCTAGGATGCATAACAGTGCTCAAAAAACAATTCCTCCTTGGGTACTGTGGAAAAAAAATGGAGGCACATAGGAAGTGCCAGCTAATTTTTTTTTTTCAGTCAGGTGTCTACCTCATCTTCTATCTGGGAAGACATCTGCATACACACTTGAAAATTTTACACATACGACTTCACACTGGTATTTTTGCCTACAATGCCTGAGGACACACAAAGATAAGAATACCAATGAAGATCTAAAATAATATTTGAATTAAGGGATTCTTGTAGCAGCTGAGAAAGTAATTCCATTTTTTCCACTTCCGTTCTCTAACTAGAAAGCCATCCCCTTCTTCCACTGCCTCTTCAATCTAACAAAGTTCAGTGCAGGATTATTTTGCGTAGCAAGGATCACATGGCATAGAAACTGTGTCTCAAGGAGAACATTCCTCTAGGAAAAAAAACAAAGGTAGTGCTCAGAGGAACACCACAGAAGATTTTACAAAAAACAGTGTTTCAAAACAAAAAAAAGCAATCCACCTCTATTCAGAAACACTGCAATTTTAAGAATTATAAGATACTCTTTTGGAACAAACTGCCAAATTTCTGTAGTGCAGACTTTGACTCATTGTTACTCTCAATGTCAACTTTAGGCTTACACCTCAGAAATATATAGTCAGCTAAATTATATGCCAGGGAAAAAAAAAAAATCTTAAACACATGACATGCCAAATGCAAAGCTCTGTTTAAAAGCCTGTAAATTACACAGGGTGAATATTTTCACTATCTAACAAAAACTCCCGATTGGGATAAAAGCCCCATCATGCCACATGTATTGCAAAAGGCACAACGGAGCCCTTACACTGCACAGCTCACAACCCAGTTTACAGAAAACCTCTGACATCCAGAATGTGACATTACCACTGTGATTGTTTGGACTGAAGAGTTAAAGTCACCTCTTTCGCTTTAATTTCAAAACCGGTTTTCTCATGCAAAGTTCCAGTCCGGTGTTATTGTCACCTCGGCATGTCCTCTGCCCTTCTCTCTTCCCCACATTTACCTTTCTTCTGAGCCCGGAACATTTCCAGCTGTTTCTGCTGCTGCCTTCTTAGTGTATTAACAATAGCTATCGCTAGCCTCAGTGCTTCTCGTGGGTATCCATGAGATCGTAATGCATCCACCCTCGCACAGGCTGTAGGAACATGTTCTAAAATGGAGAAAATAATTGAGGAATAGCAATGCTTCCATGTCTGCAGTGGCCTGTTTTGCTAGGTTACTCAAAAGGGCTTTTTTGTTGTTGTTGTTCTATGCAAAAGAGACTTAAAGGACTACTTCTGAGCCAGCATTTCAAGGGAGCCTCTGTTCTTTTTGCCAGGCTTTTCATTCATCTCCCCACCATCCCCCCCAAAATAATGCTATAGAAAATGAACAAAGCAGCGAGTCATGGAAACGTCTTTCCGGTTTAGCCACTTACCATGCCAGAGGGGCCACCCGTGAGAGTCAAAGAGCGAGTTTTCAGTGTCGTCATGGTAACAGTAGTTGGTGTATAGGTCACTGCTGATAATGTGCTGTAAGTGGCTGTCCCGCCAGTGCAGATCACATGCCTCAATGGCTCGAGTGAACACTGTCCGATGTGGCCTGTTCGATGAATCTGTCATTTTCACAATTTCAAAAAGCTGCATCAGCTTTTACTCATTCATATGTGAATCAGTCATTCACAGTATTCTTGTCTTCCACCTATTCACCAACAACCAAGCGAGGACAGCGTGCCTTGCCCCCCTCTGCACCAAGCAGTTCACAGATGACATTTCACATCCTCTTATTACCCAACATCTCAAAGCGTGTGCTATTCACGTTGCATTCAGTGAGAGAGATCTACAAACCAGCCTGGTTGATGCTAAACAGGACTTTGCAGAGGGAAAAGCTAGAGATGAAGGACATTCAACAGCAGGTGCAGAACTCCCCTAAAAGCAAACTAGAAAGTATATGGCACTTGGCTACTCAAGCATCCCTAGCTTCTTTCTTCTGCAGACCCAGAGCTGCCAGGATGACAGACAGATAAATATCACATGAAAGATTTTGAGTTGTTCTTTGAGAAGTGACATTAATTTTGGGCACCTGTGTAATTTTTTTATGTCCTAAACATATGTATGAGGATTTTTTCCCTAGGTAAATATCCTGCATGACCCCTACTTATTAGCAAAGTAGCCGTCTTTGCTTGAAAAGGATTGGACAAGGCTTCTGTCAGATTTGATAATCACATTTTAGATCAGAATGCAGGATATTGAATAAGAAGAGACACTTCCTTTAAGACAGCCATGTTGCCTCTGCACCTACTCCACACCTTACAATGCAGATTGCACATGCAGAACACATCCCACAGACAGCTGCTTTAGCTTCTCACACACTCAAGTTTAACAAAGTTGCAACAGATCTCTCTTTAAATAGGTATCAAAGGCTTTGGAACTGCAAACAAAATAAAAAACCCAACACCACAAGGAATACAAGATTATAGTTAAGCAAAGAAACAACAGGCTTTTACAGGACATACTTCAAGGACATCCGATTTTCATGCAACACATATTTAGAAGCACCAAGTGAAAAGTTAGAAGACCTAACAAAACACAAATACTTGCTTTGAAAACATTGCAGCCCCAGCACAAAAATTCCCGTCTATTTATCCTTTCTGCAAGGATAGCATTAGTGAAAATAATTATGGCTGGTCAATCCTCAACAAGAAAGTTACTTGTCCCAGAAAAGAGTGCTGAATTCTGCAAGGCTAGAGTATATAAAATAGATGTTATATTATATGTTGCAGTCAGTGCATAAGTTTAGGCTCACCTTGGTTAGCATTTGCACCCTGAGGCAAAGCATTGGTTAAATTGGGCAGCTCATTTCCATGGTTTCCATCTTCCCAGGGACAAACATCCACACTGTTCCATTTTTTCAGCTGTTTTAGCCAACTGGCCTTCTGCTCCAACTTGCAGTGGGGATTTAAGACTATACACATCCACAGAGCACCTGATTTTAAAAAAAATTGCTAAATTATGTTTTCTATTAAAAATGCAGCAGCCGATGACTAATTGCAAACTTCTACACTGTAACTTTTTCTCCCCTCAAAGGCTACACTGCTTACTTCCCAGCTATGCCTAACACTGAATTCCCAACACAGGATCTTGGAGCTGGCATGGCCCATCTGAGACAGTACGAAGTCAACCTTCTCAATTAAAAGGCATTAAGAGATCTTTTGTATTAGAAAACCCAGAGTTCAGAATGTATGGCTCATCAGACAGGAACATCAGTCAAAAGCAAATGAGAATTCACATAACGTTACAGCAGGAAATTCTGTAGCTTCATGCTACAGAAACCAAACAAGTGCATTAGTAAGACATGTATTTTGTAAACATTTACTTCCACACTTAGAACCCAGCAGAACTACTGCTGATGGTACAAGTCATTCCCAAACACATCTGGGTCTGAGAGATTCAGGAAACACTGGTTTTGTGCAGTCTAATACGAGTAAGACATTTTTACTGCAATTACTTCAGTAATTTGGTTACACTAGAAAATTTGGTTTACATTTGCTGTTTAAGGAGCTTGAAGGGAAAGCTGATTTGTGCTGACACTTCATCACTTTGGAACCTGCTCCCTGAGACTATATAGCCGGGCAGGTATAAATACAGCAGGGTCTCTAGCAACAATTTTCAAATGGAAAGATTTTTCTCTAAATCATCTGTCTCTTCATCAGTGTGAACTTTGACAGAAGTGTGACGACATCTGAAAGTACTGGTTAGCAACAGTTCATTTGCTCATTAAGAACGTGCCTTAGACGCTACAAGACGTTTAGAGAACATGCTTAAACTATGCAATCTTCATGACAGGCTGAAAAAAAAAAGAATAAAAATGCAGCTGGTTCTTCTAGGATAATAAAATTCTCACATTCAAGTATTCTTTTGCTAAGTAAGAATGCAAAATGGATACTAAGAGCACAGGCAATCAGATTACACTCATTCCTAAAGTAACTCGGCATGTCGGTATGCCACAGCACAGGAGCCTGTAGAAACACAGCTTGATCCTTAAGGTTGCAAGTCCCCCGCTACTAAGACCAACATGGAACAAGGAAGTAATATCAAAGAAACCTGAAAACCACAAAACAAATGATACAGTGCAAAACACCAGAGAGACACTACACTACTGCAGATTATTACTGCACAGAAGTTAAATACAGTACAGCAAGCGTTCTGTTTTGTTTTTTAATTAAATGTCTGAAACTTGCCATAGGAGTGAATAAGGCCAATACTATTTTTAAAAACTTATTTTAAAATCAAATCATATGACTTTCTTTAGACACATTCGACAACACACTTCACTCTTCAGAGTCAAATTACAACTGGTTCTTATTATTAAGCATCAATGCGTTCAGCACTGCTCACAACAGAACTATATTTCTTGTAAGCTGCAAAATGAAACGTAAGACAGGACATATTAGAAAGTCTTGGAGAATAGTAAATTTGGGCTTGCTTATTTATTTTCAAAATCAAGTATCACTTGAGGGCACTAAAGGGACACTGTACCACTCAGCATTTAATGGAAACAAAGCCAATTCAATACTTCGTAACCAGATTCCCAGTGTTTTCAGAGTGAAGCAAAAGCGAAGTGGAATAATTTAGCCACATTTGTTAAGTATTTCAATTATCCATCAAGGCAGGACACACACCACTGATCACACCATGCCCCTACAAAATGACTGGCATTTTCTTACTCCAAACCTCAGAAACACCACTAGAGGCACAGGAATTCACCAGCCTTCTTCAGAAGCTCCACTATGGGCGTGGTACATCTGAGACAGAGGAGAGGGAAGAGGTACCCCAAAGTACCAAAATCCTTTAAAAACTTGTTTGGTTTAAAGTGGAAAACTAAGAAACACCAGCTACTTTTATGCAAATGAAGCACAAGTACAAGTGTATTTCTAATAAACCCCACACAAACCCCTTAAAACTTCAATAGAGCCCGACTGCACGCTGCTCCCAGTGACTTCAGGGTGAGCTGCATGCACATCTGAGATATTGCCCAGTTTTAGAAGAGTGCAAGACAAAACTCCCCCAACAAGTGATGGGAACAGAAAGACCCTCAGGCTCAGCTCCTGTATGGCTACAAAGGCTACCATCTGGGAGAAGGACGCATAATGCCAATGACCCCACACTCTTTGGCCTATCTGGGTTGCAAGCTTTTTTGGTCAGGGTTTTTTGTGTGTGTGGTTTTTTTTTCCTCCCCCCTTCCCCCAGCATGTGTGCATTTCCCTGTATTCATATTTCTTCCTCCTCCTGTTCCCTAAGCACCTTCCCCCTCCCCTGACATCTGCTCTATTCTGGCTCTTTCAATTCACTGGTTCCTGTCCTGCTCCTAGCACTGAAAAGTCTGAGGAAAACGTTCACTTGTGCCCAGATTTTTACCACATGCCAACTGGAAAGAGCCTGGAGGATATTCTTCCTATTTCACTCTGATGCTGCTCAGTGGAAGCCTGCCTGAGCTGCCCTTATATGTCATCATCAACCTGAAGGCTTACACTGGCCTCAAACAAGAGATCCTCTATTTTCTGCCTAATGGTTCCCATATGGGAAGCCGCTGATCACACTTATCCCTCGCTACATGTAAGCCTATGGAAAAGTGAAGGGCAGTTACTTGTAATTTGCAGGGAAGGTATCTATTTCCAGTGACTTCAGCCTGGAAACTGCTGTTGGCAGTCTATACTGAAAAGAAGTTTCCTAGAATATATTCCTGGCATTCCCAAGTTCACCTGACTAGGTTTAATGATGTCACCAATACCACCTGCAATGTGAACAAATGTCTCATTAAACAAAAAACTCCCCAAAAACCCCAAACAAACCAAAACCAATCAAAACACAACCCAGAGAACATTGTTTGTCTTTATAACACAGCTTGCTCTCTTCTTCCTCTTTCCCCCTCCCCATGCACCAGGTATCTTTTCATACCAGCTTTTCAGCAGGCTGACATACCTTGCCCCCCAAACTAAAAGTTCCAATTTGGAATCCTTGACTGGAATCTATGCCTTTCCAATACAAAACTCATCACAGGATAGAGGCAAAATGATCACAACCCAACATACACAAACCTTTACTGCAGCAGATAGCTGGAAAATGAGACATGCTGTGACTGTAATTTTACACTAATTTCACAAGGGAATGAATATTAGATTTGTCATATTAGAGTGAGGAATTGCTTATTTTGGTTCAACACTAATCCTCTTGACCTGGAAAAAGCCAGCTTTGCCAAAACAGACCTTTGTTTCAGATAGCTCTCTTTTTGAAAATGCATGGTTATCATTCATCTTTAGTGTATCTCACATCACAAAAATAGATTACATTACTGCTTTTCACAATGCCTGCCCTCCTTGTATGCACAAGGGAACATCAGTACTTTTGCATTTCTCAACAGACATCCATACTTTTGAATTCATGGGGGAGAAAGGGTCAGGGCGCCTTTACATTAATTAGAATTTAAATATTCAAATTGAAAAACATTAAGCAGTATTCAGTCACTGTAAAAGTAGATGTTGTAATAATTACACAGCCTGTGTATGCACATATTCATGAGGCCAAAAGAAGTGCAAGGAATGTATACAGAGATTAAGCATTGCTCACTTTTCATAAATCCCATTATATCTTACTTTTGTCCCAGTAAATGAGAAGGTGGGGGGCCGGGACACTGCCCATGACTGAAGATAAAGCATACAAATCTGTTTCACTGTTTGATTACAGTCTTCCCAAGAAATTTGCTTTTCACAGAAATATTATGCTACCTTGTCAGGGCTGCTGTGTTGCTAAGTTTGGGTCAGCATTTCCTTGTTTACAATACTTGTGGAATCAATGGTTGAGACTTGGCCATCGCTTTGGAATTATATATTTAACATACTTAAGAACAATCCATTCATTTGCAAAATTAACATATGCAAGAAACAGATGCATATCTGCTGTGATATTCCTTTGCTTCTCCAACTAATGCACATCACTTTCTTAAAAAATAAAAACTCATAAGCTATCAGGTTAGTAGCATTCGATCATTTCAAAGAAAATGGAGCCAGGTAATTAAGATAATTCCCTTTGTGCCACAGACAAATCAGCTTCAGCACTTGCTGCACACTTGCCACTGTGCCCCATTTGAATCTAATAAATTCTATTACAAAAGCATCATTTTCTAGCATTGGGAGTGCCAGAACACAAACAATACTAGGAGACAAAACCTATGACCCCTTTAAAGTATAAGTGTCAGCAAAGGATTTTAAAGTGGTTTACATCTGTTTTTCAAATAGATATGCCCTTTCACTGGGACAGCGACTTGGAAACCTCAAAGAAGGTAGTGTATGGTATTTAGAACTTCTCAACAAGAAGGACAAGTGCCTTCAGAATGACAGGCAAAGCCACCTCTCTCCTGCAGGCACAGACAGACCTCCATTAGAAGAAAGCATAATCAGAAGTCCCACTGGAGAATGCTCCAATTAAACACTTGCTTTTTTGGAATAGTGAAGATAGGCAAAGCACTTCAGTGCTGTTCTCTCCTCAGCAAGAACCCCAAGGAAAAGTACTCTCAGC